AGATTTCTGAAAATATTTCTAAAAATATTATTTCTGAAAATATATGTTTCTAAGTAAAATATAACATTTACAATTGCTTGTAAAATGTACCGAAAAAAACTCTCCGTTTATTTTATGTAAATTAATTAATAACCATATATCTGAAAATGAAATTCAAATAAATCTGGAAATAAATTATGCATAACTAAAAAAATCAAATAAATTATGATTGCAGCTATGATTAACTTAAATTAATAATACATAGAAATAAATATAGTTTAATTTTTCGCCGAAATAAGAAGATAGTTGATGATATATTTTATATCCTAACGATTGCAAATGTTGTTTTATTGAAACAAAATTTCTCTATTTAAATAAAATATGCAAAAATTTTTATTATACGTCTTTACTATCTCATAATCTGAGATGGTAATGATGAATGAAAAAGAGCCTTAATATTTTTATGTCCTAAGATTTATTTTGCCTACGTTTATATATACCTCAAAAAATATGTTATGCCATTTAGCGGTTCGTGTTAATGTCAGAGGATTTTCTATTTATATACACATTGTTAGAAATGTAACCACGAGCTTCCTTTACATGTAAATGAAGCTGGTGGTTATGAACGAAATTAAAAGTAATGAATGATTTAACTGAAAATTAAGTTACAGTAGTTACTTAAATGTAATGAACGTGTACATTAAATTTATGAAATTTAATGTACTTTTAATAAAATTTTATGAAAAGTACATTAAATTTCATAAATTTTCATGAAAAATACATTAAATTTTATATATATGTACATAAATATACTTTTTAGTTACAAATACATTAAATTTAATGTAATGTCATGAAATTAAATTCAAATTAAATTCAATTATGTAACTTAAAAGTTAATGAAATTTAAGAACATTTCTAACAGTGCAACCTGAAGAAGATATTCTATAAAATAAAGGAATTTCGTGCTGGACCATAAAGTGCTGGATTTAGGATTGCAAGTCTCTCAATGCTAGAAGAATGTCTTGCATGTACTGACATGCACGTATACTACGGTAGCACGTAAATGACAAACTTCTTCTAATAGATAAGCATGCCACTAGTATTGTATATCCTCTTATTTTAAAAGGCTATTATAATAAAATTTTCTATAGAGTTTATTTTCGATCATAACTCACATGTCCTCATTTTTATAGATGAATACGTATTATAAATACACGCGCCTGATTCATGTAAGATTTTTTGCTTACAATTAGAAAAAATACTAAGAGGAATCCTCCGCTTATCGGCAGAATATTTTTTTTTGGTGTATGATATATCTGAATAAGAAAAAAAATACTAAAATATTTTGAATATACGGTTGCCACTATATGCTATAAAACTATTAAAAAACAATTGCTATACTTGCTTATTAGAAGAAATAAATGACTCTAAACAACAATTAAAAAATAATACAGATAGGTGCACAATAGAATGACATGTTTACGTGCAAAAAAATTTTAACAGAACATCTTCAGTTGCTACTAAGTCAATGTAACCAGTATATTCATTTGAACTTAAATAAAAGTCGATAAAATTGATTATTATAAAAATCAATAAAGCTAATTGCATTAAAGAAAAGATTCCGTATCTGAAAGACGAAATAATTTTTCCACTACGTGAAGATTATTCTTTCCGAAGAACTTACAATAGACAAGTACAGAACGAAACACATATGAACGTGGATAAAAGTCGACTGTCATTTACTGTGTACCTATTACAGGTCTGACATATATAGTTCTACATATCCCTCTCTCTAAATACTATGCAATTGACATGTGCACTGTACAATTGTGCAAATAAATCATAAATTTTGTGGAGCCATTGTTTTTAATACAACGCAATACTGGTCACTTGATGTTTCCTGATATTAATTTAGGTATGATGTAATTACTGAATAAAAAAAAAATAAATAAATATGGTACACAAGGACTCTCTCTCCTTAAAATAACAAAAACACTTAAATCTGGGTTAATGACAGTGCGCAATAAATCTTTTACAAATAATTATGTTAATCCATACAATATGTTCATGTCATCTTCATTTGAAATCTTGAAATCTTGAACGTTTCGATTCTCTTTGGAATCTTCATCAGCAATCTTCTTAAATTATACTAGATTTCGCGAACGTTCGATGTAGAATCACTCGCAGGTTACCAAAACTATAGTATTATCTGTTTAAATTCATATATATAAGATATTGAATTTCAAAAACGTCAAAACAAAGCTCTAGAATACACAGTCAAAATTTAAACGCGTCGTATTAACATTATGCTTAAAATTATGTAGTAATTTAAAATCACTCAAAGTAGCAAATATAATTAAATACAGGAATTGATTAATGACAGAATAGTTACAAATATAAATTAATAAATGAATTAGTGAGTCAAAAAAAGAAAAAATAAACTAATAAAAATTTTTAAACGTCACATTAATATTGTGCATAAAATTATGAGGTAAATTTATTATCGCTCAGTCTTGAAATATACATTGTGTCAAATCATTTAACATGGATGCATAAGCATGATAATAAATTTACCTTATAATTTTATGTACAATATTAATGCGACGTTTAAAAATTTGGATTAGTTTTGATGGATTGGACGGAGTTCAAACAAATTTACATAAAATGTATTATAAAATGTGTTTAAAAATCTTTCAATGCCTATTAGAGCCGACACAGGATATAATGTGTAACAATCAATTTATTAATAATTAAAAATTTCATTAAAAATTTATTAATAAATACTAAAATTATATCATTGTGACATAGGTAAACGTTTCGACTCTATTATTTGGGTCTTCTTCAGTACCAAAAAAAAAACCACAAAAAAAAATTTGTATAAATAAATGTGTAGAGTAATTATGTTACAGCAAGGTTGAAAGTTGCGAAGATTGTGTCCATTATAAATGCATGACAAGAATTTGGCAGAATTGCTATGAAACGGAGAGCAAAATGTTAATAATAGAAAAAGATTAAAAACAATTTAAAGAGAGCATGTCATCGAATGAGTAAAAAATTGCAAGACTTACATGTCATGAATAAGGAAATGGGCTGACGTACATTTCAGAGATGCATCCCGTCATTAATTGAATAATCACTACACAAATAATGAAATATAAAAATTTAAGAACGAATTAATGATAAATTATGCGTAAACGAAAAGAGCTTACATGACGATAGATTTGACGCGAACTTAATCATCAGAAGTCACAGTTAGTAATGAGAGATTTCAGAACAAAGTCAAACAGACGAGATACATCTCGTAAATACGTCAACCAAAACAACACCGATAAATCGAATATTAAAGTAAAACCGGTAAAGGAGAGAAGTCGGCGCAAATAAACGTACAGTCAAAGCTATAAATAAATT